AAACTAATACTCAAAAGTAGCAGCGTCTGCTCTCTTTCAAAGATCCTCCAAATTTACCAGATTGTATGGTAGATGTAAGATATTGGGCACAGATATACAAGTTTGTAAGAAATACAGGCTGAGCTAAGCTGCAACGTCTACAGCAGGGGGCGGTGTAGCACATCTCTGTAGGTAGAACCTATGAGCTCACTTTTCTTCCTCTGTGTCGTCCTCAGAGTCGTCAGGCAGCGCCTTCAGCTCCGGCGGTCCCTGCGTCTCCTCCATCTTCAGTCTCTCCTTACCGAACTCTGACGGGTAGATCTGGCCAAAAATACCCACAATGCAATGCTGTCACTCAGAATAAACAGGCTGGAAACAGCTGAGTCCTTCCTGGTTTCTACAAATAAACACACTCTAGTTCACACAATGGCCTGAAAATAAAAACTAAAACAAAACCAAGCCCTGGGCGTAAATATCACATTATTCATCCTAACTTCAAGGGTCAGTGCCAAGCTGGGCCCTGGGTCTTGTCTTTCAGGCATGTTTCTAGTTAGTTACATCCTCAACTGATGCTTTAGAGCTTTATAATATCTCTATGCATTTATCTGCTTCAACACTCATTTCACATCAGATTTACCTTCACAGACAGCACAGCGCCCCCTTTAGGTGTGAAGGAGTTAAACAGAGCCAGCAGGTCTTTAGCCTTCATGCGATCCCAGTCCATGTTGCAGACAGCGATCCGAGCAGAGACCTACAACATGATAACAAACTGCTAAAAACAGGGTTTAACTTGTCCCATGCTTCTGCGGGACTTAGACAACTTTTATTGTCATTGATGTTTAAAGTACAGCTTTCCAGAGAGTAAATTAACATTTCATTCCATAAAGTGCAGCAGTGATCAAACGTAAACAGTGTGGGACGCCGGCCTCACCTCATCACTCCGTGGAGCGTCTTTGCACAGCTCCCCCCAGTCATGTTCAATCTCCTCTTCCTCTTTCTTCAGGATGTCTTCCACATCATCATCGTCATCATCTTCATCTGAGCTGGTCTCAATATTTCCTTTACCTCGGGCCAGATCAGGTCCGCTGTCGCTGTCGTCGCCAGAATCCAAACTGGACTCATCGTCAGACCCCCTCGCTGCATCGCTCTCCTCCTCCTCTTCATAACCCTCCCCATTTTCATCAGAGTCACTGTCTCCCAGATCTTCATCCTCAGACAGCTGCTCCTCATCTTCACCATCTATGGGGGGAAATTACAGAGCTATGGTTACCCTTCTTTTGGTACCCCTCTTTAATGCCTGTGGCATGTCTAATGTATTTACAGCAAGTCTCACTGTTTTGCATCCATCCATTACATCACAAAACAAATTCTTATGATTGTTTTAAAAAGCGGATTCTGTATTTTAATATCAGTCTACAAGATTTTGCATCTGGTTCTTGCAGTAATGATCCACCTCTCCGGACTACAGTGAAGGGTCGAAGCTTTGATGGGGCTGTAACCCCAAAGCTTTACCTTTAAGTTCAGATTCTTCTATTATCCTCCAGAGAAAATCCTTCAGTTTTGCAGATTTAGTTCCAGATTCCCAAATCAGTATAAATTCATATTCTGACCTTTTTCTGCAGCGGTTCCTTGTCCAGACGGCTCCACTGCTTTTGTCTTCTTCTTCTCCCCCTTCCTCACCTTTGGAGGCTCATCGTCATCTTCATCTGAATCAGACAGCTTGTAGAACCGCCTCAGATCCTCAGAGGTGGAGTGGCTGACGGGCCGACCTCGTTTGTCCACCGTCTGCTTCACCTTGAAGCGCTGGTCATGGAACATGGACTGAAAGCGCTTGTCGATCTTGACCTTTTGTTCTTTCTCTGGCATCTCCCAGAACCTGGGGTCCTTCTGGACCCGGCGGAACCGTTCATCCTCTTCCTGCTTTTTTCTGGACATGATGGGGACGGGGAAAAATAATCCCAGCCTTACCTAAAAGGCAGGAGTAAAAATTCAGGTTAGTTAATGACATAAGAGCAGACGGACATAATTAATTCACAAACAGAACCACATGGAAACAGAACTCATTAGATCCGGCTGACAATTTGTCTTTTTATTGCATTAGATTCTTCCTGTGTGAGACTTTCTATAACTGGCATCTAAATGTATCAGACCCATGGTTCCCAGTCCTGACCTAGGGTTCTTTGGAGCAGTTTTAATCCAGATCCAGTCAGAACGGCTCCCTGTTCCGAAACACTATCACCATAACCCACGATCTGGATTTTAACTGCAGCTGTACAAGTATTTATGTAAACAGTATTGATTTTGGGCAGCACACTCAACTATCTTGGAGCTTGTTCTGAACTCCATTCACTGACATAACTTTCTGAAGGACTGGTGTGGACATGTCCCCACCAACTTTGGCATGGAGGGGACAGACCCCACCAATAAGTTCCGCTTTTTTCCTGCTTTCCACTGATTTACTTTAGCCAACAGTAACTGGGATTGGGTGCAGCTAACTGTGTTCAGAGCGTTTTCAGTCCAGGTATTTGCTGCTCTCGAGTCCCACCTCTTGGAATATCATCGGATCTGTCGCTTTGGGACATAATATATCTTGAGGTCGTTATTCACTGCGTACAGAGTAGCTACACGGAGGAGGAGAGACACAGCAGCACTCAGTGAATCTTAACCAGCAGCTACTTCGATATATGTTTCAGTAAAATTTGGGAGACTGGTTACTTAAAAAAATTAGAGATGCCACTGAAAAAATCAGTTTGTTACACATATAAAGCTTTTTCAGCTAAAAATGGCAACAGATTGTTCATTTATATAAGTTAAAAAAGCTGGGCTTCTCAGAGGACCATTACTCAGAGTTACAGATTAAAATGAACACATATATTTTGTTTCCTTATTGAACAGAGAGTCAGAGAGCAGAGCTTCTAGAGATCCTGAAAATTATTTTCTCTGGCATCTTTATATTGGTAGACAGGTTCATACATCTGTTTTTAAGCAGAGCAGAGACACAATGAGAGACAGCTGCAGATTTAAAGGTGAAACAGAATTACTGGGATATGCAACATGCAATAAAATTGCATGTTGCAATGCTATGATTAAATTCAACATATTCAACATATTCAACGAGACTCAGAAATAGCTGATCCAGCAACCAAGAGAGAGCCAGACTCACAGGAAACAAATTTAAAATTTAAAAATATAAGAAACCTACAAGAATTAAAGCACAAATAATAAAAATCAGTGTAAACGATTTCTTAAATGTAAGGTTCAATATAGAGACTTTGGCTGTCAATGACATATGGGACTAATTTGATTTTGCTGCTTGTGAAGGAGGATACTAAATGATGCAGCTTAAAGGGAAGCCATGCATGGATGGATGGAAGTGAAGTTGTGTCCATTCTAGGGATGCAGGATATATTGATGTTGGCATCGGTATCGGCTGTTATTAATCATTTTTTTTTATACATTTATGTTTTTGAGTCCTTTATAAATAATGCACTAAAGGCAGGCATCTGTCTATAACTATAAATATCAGTGTCTTATAATTTTCTCTTGTGTTCTCAACAATAGGAAAGCATTCAATAAATATATGTTTCAGCTTGTTTTTGGAAAATATAAACCCTGTTGAAAGCGTTGGGATTGAGTAGCTGTAGGTCCATCAGCAGCACCAACTTTTATCACAAAGTTACACCCTTGACTCTAATCGTCTTATCTTTTCAGATTTCTTTCTTTTTCTGTTTTTTTTCACAGAGAAGTTTGACAATCAAAGCAACTTATATAAAAACTCATCCCTGACCTTACCTGCAGCAGATCTAATTTAAAAATATTCAAAGGTCTACTATGGTCAGGGAGTAGCAGATTAATACTGGTGCCTATGAGGGTCAAAAGACCTAAATGGTGCTTCGACAGCTCAAACAGTCACATTTACATAATTTAAATTAATGTTCTTTTGTATTAAGTCCGATTATTTCATTTCTTCCATCAGCTGAATTTACTTACTTTATCTATTTTATAACTGTAGTTTATCGCGATTTTAAAAATATTTTTTTATATATACAGAAACTTTAAAAATACGCTAAGCGGAATAAAATGACACTTTATGCACAAGATCCGAATTATGAGTTATACCGAACCGAAAAGGTTTGTTTACAACCATCAGAGAGAAAATTTTTGTCTAGCATAAAACTATCTCTCCATCTTTTCAGAATCTAACTCTATCGACCAGTTTTCGACTAAACACCTGCAGGTTCGGACAGATTCAGAGTCCAGAATCAGAACCAGAAGTAAAAACTCCACATCATGGTTAAAAACTCATTTTAGAGCCACTTTACCTTCACCAGTCCTCCTCACACATGTGTTCTCCCAGCATGCACTCTGTTCCAACCCTTCCCGTTGTGCTTCCTGGTCTGAAGCTACGGCGCGCAGCGTGGGACAAACGGTGCGAAACACAGATCACACAACTAACCCTCAAAGGTTCACGTTTTAGGATTCAAAAAATGATCACTTACGTTTGAATTTGATTCCACAATTATCAGAAAATTGAAAATAAATGTCTGCCGCTGAATAAACTGCACAGCAACGCTCCATGGACTTCGTAAAAACTTAATAATTCATTATTTCTTTGATGTAACTGAAGAATTTCAGTCCAATAAAATATGATCGGGGGATAATTCATAAAAAATATGCATTTCAAAGTAGAAAAACAGCTTTATTAGTTATTAAACATATATCATGTTGTCATTCTAGTCTTTTCCTATTTATTTAAGTTTACACTGTAACATAGGGGCTTTATATTTAGACATATCATGGCAAATGTGCCAAAGATTAAACATAAATTCTTCCCTAGCTCCAGTTTTAATACAGTTAATACAGTTAAAATGTTTTTGTTTTGCTTTTGTTTTTTTCAGATTGTGAACGTATTTCTGGGACAGATCATAACCCAGTTAATCAGATGCAGCAGCTTCCAGCTCCGCCATGAGGCTGTGATCCAGTTCCTTAGTTTTATTCCACCCAGCCGGGTTTTCCCTCCAGCTCCACACTGAGGTCATTCTGCTGAGCCGAGATCAGACATGTTGGAGGAGTTCTTGTACTGTGAAGTAACATTATGAACAACAGAGGAGTCCAGAAGGTCCTCCAGGGGCTGCAGCTGGTCAGTTCTGCTCCTGCAGGAAGGATCTGCTCTTCCTTGTCCTCCTGGAACAGAAGGCCGGGATCTGGATCAAACAGGGCCCTGTCAGGATCTGGCAGAGGGAGCATGAATGTGTTCAACAGGGAAATGAAGAAGAGGCAGAAGAACTGGGCTGCAGTTCTGCAGGATGGTCACCAGTATGACTACCTGAGGGATGAGGTGAGGAGGAGGAGGTGCTGCATCAGTCTGCCTGGTTTCAGCTTTGCCTCTACTTGGGTTCATTTAGTTTGACCCCTGTCTCTGATGATGATCTGCATCAGTCTAGTTTGTCCTTTAATGCCAGGTTTTCCTCATCAGCTGCATCTGTTGATGGATTTTATTTTATATCCCAATAATGTTCTTGCTTTTAAAGTGAAATCAGTGGAATCAGCAGCAGGCAGAGGACTCCTCTGGTGGCAACTGCTCCATGTCCTCCAGGAGGAACTGTCCAGCTTGGTAGAACAATCTAGCATCCAACACTTCTTCCTGTTGAAGTTGGATCTTGTGTGTTTTTCAGGTCGGGAGTCGAGTCGCTGATCGGGTTTATGATATCACCAGGTAAGGTTCTGGTCCAGGTCCAAACAAACTGTACAGAGAGCTGTTACTTTAAGTTAAAGTTTCAGTCAATCTGGATTCATTCACACAGTTTTTAAGGAGGAATTCAGACCCAAACAGATTAGATGATTCAAGAGACAGATGATCAACCAATAAATGAAAAATCAGAACAGGAGATGATTCCATTAATACATAAACAGATGGAAATGTTGCTGCAGAGTATTAAAACATAGATAATGAGGGTTTATGGCAGGGCCTGACCAGAGATCCTGTTAAGGAACCATTTTGTTTGGAAGTCACCAACTGTTGTTGATGTTGAGAGGATCATTCTGCTTCCTGTTCGGGTCAGTCTGCCCCACTTTAGGAGTATCATTTGTTCAGGTTGGAATCATAACTGAATCACGCTGAGAGATGCCATCAACCCTGAGTTTGGATTTATTAGTTAAAAGGTCAAGAGTCCAGTTAAATCTGGACTACTTGGTCTCAGGCCAGTTTTTCCCACTGGGATAAAATTATGAATAACAGAACTAAAATCAGAGATTGGAGTGGGACCTGACATTCTTTGTAGATCTTTTCTGGACCTGCTACAGCAGGTTTTTGTTGTTTTTTAAGCAGATACCTGCAAACAACCATTTTTATCTGAAACTGTTGTTCTGAAATAAGGATGCTCAGGTAGAAAGTAGAACAGCACGTGGTTATGCAGTTTTTCTTGTGCTTCAAACTCTACCAGATGTCCAAACTGAAATGGGAAACCGAATCTGATTCAAGCATTTGCTGCCATGTCCCCATCTCTGTCCCTTTATTCCTGCAGCAGATAGAGAATGCATCTGATCTGTGTTTATCTTGTCAGGACATTCCCTCTCGCTCTGGACATTGGAGGAGGAAAAAGTCACATTGCAGACCATCTAAACAAGGTGATGATGCATTCACTTTTCCTCAAGCTTGAAATTCCTAACCCTGAAATGTAAACTAGCTTATAAGGAAAAGCTCCCAACATGGAGGATGAGGAGATATCTTTGATGAGAATCCTGCTTAATATGTCCAGTCTGATGTTACAGGATGTGGTGGAGCGTTTGTTCCTGACAGACATCTCCCAGCACACCCTGGTGAGTTCTGACCCCAGTCCAGTGAAACCAGTACATATGAGGCGCCGCTTCCACCTGCCGTGATCACAACTGATGTGTTTCAGAAACATCGCAAGCCGAGTGAGATTCCCACTCAGTGCATCCTTGCTGACGAGGAGTTTCTGCCGTTTAAGGAGAACACTTTCGACCTAGTGCTGAGTAGCTTGACGTGAGTCACTCTGGTTCTATCTGAGGCCTCTACTGGTGCCTGCCACCGGAGGGAGCTCACTCCCTTCCATTTATTTTATTACATTAAATTAGGCTTTAGAATGTTCAGGTATAGCATATTTTTAATCCGTTTGCTTATCAGGAAAGCATGAATTCTCAGGGAACCCATTCAGGACGAGCAGAAGAAATTAGACCAATGGTTGGCTGATTTACAGTTCTCTTTGTTTCCTGCACTGAATCCAGCTGGATAATCAGTATCAGGGTCCCGAGAACTGTATTCAATTTCAAATGGTCATCTACTTCAGGCCACATAGTTTTTGTCAGACTATTTTTCAGATAAAGAAACAGCAACAAACTTGTTTTAAGCTTGAATCTTATTTTTTCTAAAGGAACTTTCCAGAAATCATGTTTTGTTCTGTCCTCTCAGCCTTCACTGGATCAACGACCTTCCTGGAGCCCTCAGACAGGTGCAATGAGTGATTCTGTGTTCTGCTGGGATCAGGAACAAGCTCTTGCCTCATCCTGCCTCTTGCTCTTAGATCCACCAGGTTCTGAAGCCAGACGGGGTTTTCATCGGGGCGATGGTGGGCGGGGAGACGCTGTACGAGCTGCGCTGTTCTCTCCAGCTGGCTGAGACGGAGAGGGAGGGAGGTTTCTCCCCCCATGTGTCGCCCTACACCGCCGTCACAGACCTAGGGAACCTGCTGGGCCAGGCTGGCTTCAATATGCTGACTGTGGTGAGAACATCTTAAGATGTTTAGTTTTCTGTCAGACCCAAACCAGGACGAAGCAAACACAGCCTTTCTTACACCATTAGTAGACTGTTAAACCCAGAAGTTCACCCACTGTGCATTAGAGGAACCACAGAACTCTAAAGCTCTAAAAACTTTATATGTTATGTTACTCAATACAATCAGCAGAAAGGAAAACAAATCCTACTATATCCCAAATCTTTGGAGATGTGGGCCTTTAGTTTGTTCTTGTTAAACATTCTGTCCAAATGAGCTGATTATATGAAACCAACTGGTTGGAATGCATTCAAGGGAACCAAGCTGATTGCATCAGGTCCTTAGCTGTGTAGCAGGCCTGCCTCCTGAGCAAGCATATGGCAATTGTGGAAAGGAGCATCTAAATTTTAACATGTAAAAATGTCTGGCAGAAGCAGAACGGGGCTACCTAGGAATGCATATTGTGTCTGACATGTGCAACATTTTCTTCTTATTTTTCAGGACATTGATGATGTTCAGGTGCATTACCCAGGCATCATGGAGGTCATGACTGATCTTCAAGGTACAAATTGCTGAGAAACGAAAAGTAAAATCCAGAAGATCTCAGAAAACATCCAAAACACTGATTAAGGCTACTAAGAACTTCATGTCTGCAGAAAAATAGAACATTAACTGAAAGAGCTTGAGATGTTAACAGAACTCTTAAAACGCTGCTCCTTGCAGGTATGGGAGAAAGTAACTGTGCATGGAACAGGAGGTCGATGCTGCACAGGGATACTATGTTAGCAGCTGCAGCCATTTATAAAGGTGAGTGGTTGAAAAGGGAGCTGGAAACACAAACATGCGTCAGATTGAGGGACATTGCATGTTGCAATTCTACTGCAATTCACTGCATGTTCTGTAGACGCAGAGGCATCATTTCAGTGACAGTAGAACTAAAAACAGTAGAGATCATTTCCATGTCCTGCAACTGTGTGGCATCTCTTCTCCCTCTAAGTTCACTTTAAACAGCTCAGAAGTGACATGCAGTCTGGGACAAAAACAGAAAAAAGAAATCCCATCAGAAACATTCTAATGGTCCATTCAGACCAGAGGCGATGGCAACGGTCTTAGATGGCAACGGCATAGAATTCCTATACAAACCGAGCATTGAAGGGCAGTGAAGCGACCAGCGGTGAGAGCTTTCACTGCGCTGCTCTCACCTCGTGCTACTAGATAGAGCTGTGGTGTTTGTAAGTAGCAGCACCGCATGGAGAGAGGGGAGCGGTGATCGCCGAAGTTTTTTGCAATGGCGATACGGCAGCCAATCAGGGATTGGTGTTAAGCGACGCTTTTTTCACTCAAAATGGAATACAGATAAAATAATGTTAAACAGGTTAGGAAGAAGGAATTCTCTCAAGAGGTCTTTAGATGGCTTTAAAAAATACATCTGTTGATCGTCCTCCCTCCCGCACCATAACAAGGATGAATATGAGGAGAGAAAAACTTAGAGACTAAAGAGAGAAAACCAGCAACAGAGGCGTTGTCGTTTGATCACATGATTTATGTAACCGTATTCTGACCTGCAGGTAGCCTTTATTATCAGTTAAACAGAATTTAGATCAACCCAGAGGTCTGATTGTATTTATTGCTCTGTTTTCCACTAACAGCAGCATCTGTTTGCTGTTCAGCATTAATCACTGACACCTCACATCACCTGATAGTGTGTCATCTCCTGTTTCTTTGTCTGCTGTCATGCAGTGCACCACATGTAGATTAGCAGTCAGGATAGAGAAAATATGGTGAAAGGGGATAAAAAAAAAAAACTTTAGAGGAAAAACATTTAATTCTTGTCATAACAGGACACAGAGCGTTTGATTCAACTAAAACTGAGCGCTGATTCCACTTAGCCTCTCTTTCTGCTTATAGAACAAGCAGTGAACCTGCAGTCTGGGAGTGAAGTTTGATGGAGCTTATGTTATTTAATCAAATTGTGTTCAGTTAATTTTGCACACACATGGAATAAATTCACAACTTTATCAACAAAAATTATTAAATTCCAAGTCAAACATTTATGTCAAAAAGTCTTAACTAGTAAAACTCAACTGAACTTAATAGCTTCTATGTACAAATAAGAAAATAAATAAAAATGGTGAAAAACCATAATCAATAAAATGCAATATTATAAAATATTTATTTGTTTGAGAACTTCACTTGAAAATTTTAAACTAGCTTTTAAGCTTTTTTTTTTTTTTTTTATTTAGACCAATCTCCCTGTGATATGGGAGTCTTATGCAGAGCTTAGATTTGCAATGAAGTCCCGTATGGAAAAAAGTGATCCCAAACGTC